CAGGGGCAGGGTTTGAGGCAAGGTTTGAGGCATTTTCTTGGGCCTCATGTGTGGCATTTTCTTGGGCCTCATATGTTGGTTCTAATTCAGCATTAAAAGATGCATTAGGCCCACTGTTTTGAGATGCTCCCTCACCTACTCCACTTTCCCCATATTCCAATAAAGGTGGGACCAAAACAGGATCAGCAACAAAGTGACACACAAAACAGTCCAAAATATCTCCATGACTCAAACACTCGGCAATTAAAGTAGTATCATAGTCAGATTTGATTTCTAACATAGCAGTACTTCTAGGAAGTTTTACATACAACACACATTGTCCAGGTTCATACCCCAACTCTTTCAGACAATCCCTCAATTCAAAATAAGATAACCTATCTATATCAACATCTAAAAACTCATAAACTCCTCCACCATGATATGGTTTCCCCTTGTATTCCTTTTTTCCAATCTTAATAACACCACCGTGGTAAAATCTCAAAGTAATCAATTCAAAAGACATTTTAACCTGAAAATAATGTTATCAGTTAACCCTCAACAACAACGACAAAACATATACAACAACAAAATTCATACAACAACAACAGGGAATCATGTGAATGAAAGACGACATACAATAAACTTGAAAAAAAAATAAAGACGAAATAACCCTAAGCTAAAAAGTATGAACTATGAAGTAACCCTAGAAATGTTTGACTGACCTTTCAAATATGGAGACGACAACAAATTATGAACGATGAACGCCTCGATTGTACCCACCAAACCCTAGTAACCACTGATTTGCTTCCACCAAACGATGAACGCCTCGATCGACAATGTTCTTCAAATATAACTACAAGGATGCTTCAAAAATACCACAAAATCGAAGAAATCTTTAGCTAAAATTAGGATTTACAGATGAATTTTTTCGATTAGGTTTTGGTGTTCTTAGAGAAAGGAAACGGGTGGGTGAAATAAATGGACTAGGGTAAAATAAAATGGATTTGGGTGAAAAGAATCGGGTTTGGGTGAAAAGAAACGGGTTTGGGTCAAAAGAAACGGGTTTGGGTCAAATGAATCGGATTGGGGTCTTTTATTACATGGCTTAACTAGGAGGCGAGTGGCTTTCACTCTAGGCATAATGTCCTGGGTTAGGTGACGGAAGGGGGAAATAAATATACTTTTATGTACTTAAGGTGTGTAATAGGTCACCCCATTAGTTAAAGTGTGTAAATGACTTTTGGGTATACGTTTAGGGGGCAATTTATGCCTTTTGCCTATAATAATTTTACCTATACTTTCAAATAATTACGTATCGTATCACTAATTAAAAATTATCTATCATATATAGAGAAAGATGCACCTAGTTACATGTATTTTTGTTACCAGATACACTAAAATAGGAAGAGAGGCAGCGAGATAATCATGTATCCCAGATACATGTGAATCACACTAGATACACACTAGTACGGTGTACATGGCCGGGTTGGTTCGGATTTTTCAAATACCAAACCAAACAATTTGTGTCAGATTTTTAAATTTATAAACCAAATCAAACTAATAAAACTCGGGTTTTTCAACCTTGGGGTTTTCATATTATTTTTTTTTGGATTTTCGGTTTATTCCGATAAAGTATCCATACAAACATGTAATTAACTTGTGCTCCAAATATTTCTTTAGTTCTACAAAAATACAACTATATAAGGTATTTCTTAAGAAAATAACACAAAATATGAGATGAGTGATGATACTAAAAGATTCAACAAAAAAAATAAAAATGAAAGTGCATAAAATAAATATTACAAATTAATAAGTTATAATGAAAATGATCATAATTTAAAAGTACTAAATCATTCTAAAATAAGTCTAATAAGTATTAATTACGTAATTAAATATTTAAAAAAAATTAAAATTAGGTTATGTATTTTAAATGTCTAAACCAATGTAAAACTAAAAAACAAATATTCAACATTATTGTCATTGTCAGTGTTGAATTAATTATTTTTGTTAGCATTAGTATTGATTTGATTTTGAATTGAGCTTTACTAGAGTTACTAATAACTATCTCTAAATTTTATGGAAGCATTCAAAATTTCAAGTCTCAAAAACTTAAAATAATATGTCAAAAGATAAAAATAATGAAAAATTATAAGAAGTATCCAAAAATTATATCAAAGTAAATACTTTTATGTATAAAA